CCCCAAAACCCCAAAACCCCAAAACCCCAAAACCCCTCCGCTCTCAAGAATAATTGAAAATAATTTATAATAAAGCCTGAAATTATTGCAATGAACCCGAACCAAAGAAAGCAAGTTATCAAGGACTTCATCGGCAAGATCCTGACCAAGAACTTAATCGGAGAGGAGCCTGGAAAGTTAGAGGGCTTCAAGGAAAGACTTCAGAAAATAATCGACCCTAACTCTCGTAAGTCTAGCTACGAAACCTCCCTTAAGAGGGTCAACGAAGTGCAAGAACAGATGGATGGCTTGGTAGACTACCTTGACAAATAAAATGGACTCTGTGCTTGAAAAACGTGAAAAAGAATTCCTTTCAGCCTACCAATCCCATATGGTTGAAGTCCAGAATGAGCTCCTACATCTCAAGAGGAAGGCCAATGAGAAAGAACTTCAGTTACAACAGGACGATAAAATACTTTCTCTGGAGCAAGAGCTTGCTTGGATTCGTGAAGAAACTATGAAGGCTCGTGAGGAAATTGACAACCAAGAAGCACTTATCAAGGATTATAAAGAAGAGCAGCAAGAGTTACAGGATGATTCCAGATTTCTCAAAATGAACCTCAAGCAACTGCTAAAAGATAAGCTGTTTGAAGAAGCAAAAGAATTACAAGAAAAAGATGACAAAATCTCTAAAGATGATTCAGTTAAAATACTTAAGATTGAGGATGAACAGCCTGTTGAGGAAGAAAAGACCTTCAAAACTAAAGAGCAGGAAGAGCCTCAAGATGACCAACAGGAGGCCAACCCAGAGATAGCACCTCATAATGAGAGCATACTTGAGGAGGATGCTAAATCTAATGATTCTAGGAAGATGGTCATGAGTACAATGCCACTCAAAACAGAAGATGTCACTAAAATTGACTATATTCTAACAGAGCTGTTCGAAAGCGGTCGTCCAAAGGCTGAAATTCTCGCAGAAGTGAGGAAATTCTGACTTGAAAACCAGATGAGGAGAAAAAGAGTCCTTCAACTACACAAAAGAACACTAGAACGTAAGAAAAGAATGAAAGCTCAGTTAGAAAAAGCAGTCCAAGAAACTCCCAAATCGGCTGAAAGTCAGAAAAATCTTATCTACTTCATGCAGTGTGTGGAAAGAGTCAAAATGGAGGTAAATTCTAGGAAGAGATGTGACCCTGATTCTTTGAGAACTAAGAATAAAGTCAGCCTTTTCAACACATCTGATAAGAGGAGAATTATGGAGCTTCTTTTGTATAAAGAAAATATCCTAACAAAAATCCTCCTGAAAATATTCCGCAAGATGAAAATCAAGGATCTTGAGAGAAAGGTAGAATACGAAAGAAGAGCAAGCAAATACCACAATTCTGCAATGGATACCACATTTAAAAGAACTGGGATAGCACAGAGTAGCAGGGTAGGCGAATTTGGCTACTCTAGGAGAGAGCCACGCTCGTACGAGAACTCTCAAAGGATGCCTTATAAGTACTCAAAAATCTCTAACAGCCACACACCTGCTTCAAACCTAATCAGATATGATGCCTCGGCTCCGGTACACATGCTCAATAGAGAAATTGACTTAAAAGAAGGAGAAATTCCAAGCTTTGAGAAATAATTTTCAATATGATTAAATAAATTAGGGGTTTTGGGGTTTTGGGGTTTTGGGGTTTTGGGG